GCTGAACTCTTTGCCTAGCAAAGTATACCCCCAAAGTAAATATGATTTTAGAAAGTTGGTTTTAGATAGAATGTTTGGGAGTGTGTACAGAATGTTGGAGTATGTGCTCCAAATATACAAAAGACTGACCTATCATTTATCCTTGCATAAGAAACAGAACTGAAAGCTTAATATGGAAAAAAAGTGTATTCTGCATTCACAGAGGTTTTAGTCTTCACCTAGATGGACTATACTCTCAAACTTCAAAGGAAATCAGATTCTATGTTGGTTTCGCAGTGGCAGGCTCTGATGTGCTGCCGTTTAATTTATCTGAGCCTCAGACCCAAACAAAATAACAGTCTTTGTTTCCTAAAACTCACTTTGTCCCATATGATACATCAAGACAGTCATTAAAGCCACAGTTGAACCCACTGAATCCATGTGGCTGGAAGAGAAATGGTTTCATTATTTGTAAATATAGTTCAAGGTCTAATATGTCAACTCTCTGTTAGTAAAATTTCTAAAGAAAAAGAGTAAATAGAAGACTAATGTGGTAAAAGCTGACATAAACTACTGGATTTGGAAACTTTGGCTGTCTTCCTAGTTGCATTGTCTTCTTGCATTGTCTGGAGTAAGGCATGTGCTGAGGATGAGCTTGGTGCAATCTCGTAGAATCATAGAATGGTTTGGGTTAGAAGGGACAATAAAGATGATTCAGTTCCAACCCACTCTGCCATGGGCAGGGACACCTTCCACCAGACCAGGTTGCTCAAAGTCCTTTCCAGCTTGGCCTTGAACACTGCCAGGGATGGGGCAGCCACAGCTTCTCTGGGCATCTGTGCTAGTGCCTCACCACCCTCACAGCAAAGAATTGCTTCCTAATATCTAATCTAAATCTCCCCTCTTTCAGTTTAAAGCCATTGCCCCTTGTCCTATCACTACTTGCTATTATAAAAAGTCCCTCTCCGAATTTCTAGTCCCTGTTTAGGTAGTGAAAGGCTGCTCTAAGGTCTCCCTGGAGTCATCTCTTCTCCAGGCTGAAAAAGCCCGACTCCCTCTCTTCATAAGAGAGGTGCTCCAGCCCTCAGAAAATCTTGTGGCCTCCTATGATCTCACTTGAGCGGCTCCATGTCCCCCTTATGTTGTTGCTCCCAGAGCTGCATGCATTACTGCAGGTGGGGTCTCATGAGAGTAGAATAGAGAGGCAGGATCACCTCCCTCAAACTGCTGGTTATGCTTCCTTTGATGCAGTCCAGCACACGGTTGGTTTCTGGGCTGCAAGTGCACACTGAAGCTGGCTCATGTTGAACTTCCTGTTAATCAACACCCGGAAGACCTTCTTCTCAGGGCTGCTCTGAATTCATTCTCCACCCAGCCTGTAGTTGTGCTTGGGATCTTCTTCATTCCCATGGTAGGGGTAAGGTTTATTTCATAAGTGGTTCCTAAACCCAGCTTAATCCCCTAGTCAGAGGACTAGTAATTTTCTGGACTGTATTCCTTAACTGGATCCTTTAGTTCAGGCCACTGACTCTTGGAAGCAGCTTTTCCATGAGCTGTACCAATGTAAACATGTTGAGGGTATATTGATAAGCAAACAGAGAGGATGAGAGCCAAAAGGCAAATCTAAGTCACAGTCTCGCCCACACTGGGCTGGTGAGCAAGTAAAAATATTATAATATCCCCTATAGAATGGGCAAGCTTCTTGGACCATGCCTATGCTGCACGATAGGCCACCCTCAGAAACTAAGTTTGACAACAGATGAGATCGAAGATCCTTGTATTTTGTAAGAAGAAACAACCCTGGAAAAATCAAAGTAGCTGTAAACAAACTGAAGAACAAAGTAAGTAAACTGACATAAAATATGTGGAGACCTGTCCAGAGGAAGCAGTGAAAAAGATGCCCTGTTTGTGAACCTGTGCATGACAGAAAAAGTATTTTCTTTGTCCCCATAATCTTCTTTAATAGAAATAAAAGTAAAGAGGAGGACCTACAGAAACTCTTAAGAAGATCTGGAAAAGGATAATTTCTCAAGGCTCACAGAGTTTTTCTGTACAGGTATGCCAGCCAGAATTGTCACTGACAGTAAGTTTCAATGAGCACAGGTAGGTTTTCATTTTGTCTATTCTTGTACTGCATTGTTGAACAAAGCCGTAAAAGGCAGTGGCTGCCTCTCCTGAATTTTATTGGTTTTCGTAAAGCTTTTGACAATGAAGAGAATAATTGTAACAGATAGTGAAACTTTTCTTTCTTTTTTTTCTTTTTTTTTTTTTTGTTTGTGTTTTTTTGTTGTTTTTTTTTTTTTCTGTTTAGAATTACATATTCCGAACAGTATCAGGGTGTGAAATGCATTGCAGTCTCTAACTTAGGAACTGATCTTTGGGGGTGATGTAATACTAGAGTTAAATGTTAATGATTCTGCCTGAATCCTTTATTTTTTATTAAGAATCTTCATCATGGAATGAGAATTAAAAAAAAATAAATCAGTTGTAAATCTGGACTTAGCTGATAACTGCCTCTTCGATACATCATCAAAAGAAAGGAGTTAAAGAGCAATATTCTAGCCAAAAAATTCAGCCATTTAGATTTTCATTAGCAGATCAAAATGGCTGTTATGAAAACCAGATAATCCAACAGTATCTGAGCATAAAACCTCACAAACTATTGATAAATTTAGTTATTCACTGTCAGTTAAGACAATGACAAAATGACAACTTCATTAACATTTTGACTTGAAAGTTAGTACTATTTGGAAGCCTACCCTGGTGAGAAAAGGCTGAAGCCTTTTCTGTTGCACAGTTCAACATCTGTTTCTCAGCAGTTACATGGCACATCTGCAGCCACACTGCAGGAATCCCAAGAAGCTTATCCAAGAGGCGAAGAGCCATGAGCTGGGTTCCTTGGGCACCTATCACTAGCTGAAACAGAAATTCTGTAACTGGAGCAGCCATTAATGTTCAAGTCAGTACAGCTCTGGGAGAGATACCCATAAATAAGATGTGGTTTAACTACTGGAAGAAAAGCAAAACTGTATGCAAGATGGAATGAAAGAGGTTTTCAGCAATGCTATACACAGAAGTACATCAGCTGCCTGCTCAAAAGAAAAAAACTGACAGAAAGTCACCTCATTTGACAGTGTGAGAAAGAAATACATAACCAGTAGATAGACCAAATTACAGATGTGCTCTTCCATGGTGCTGATATAGATAGTCTCAAATTCAAAATGTACTAACTCATGAATGAAACACAAGGAAATGCATGGAGGAGACCAACTTTCTATTAATATTTCTCCTTTTTAGATCTCTGATCTTTTTTCTGAAGTGAAGAAATGTCATTCCTCCATAGGAGGCAATGAAAAGAAATGGTCAATACGTTTTTCTGAAAATATTTGTTAGTATATTTTAATTCTTAATGCCAGGTTATATGGATCTAAGGATAGTCATTCTTTGATGTGTTTGAGTCAAATAAAGACATAGGAATCAGAGGAAAATTTGTATTTGATAGAAAAATAAAGCTGTAGGGCATCTTAAGTAATGTAGTCTATTGCTCTATCCAGTAAACATCCTTGTCAGATGCTTTTCATCTGTTCTTAAAGACCCCTAGTGATGGAAATCCCCAAACCTCCTCAAAGATTCCATTGCTCCATTATTCCATTTGAAAGTCCCTTTTTTTTTCCAATGCCAAATCTAAACCTCCTTTTCTGTATTTTAAGTCCTACTTGCTGCACTTAACAGATACCCAATCTTTTCCTTTCTTCTTCGGACTGTGTTTTTCTCAGCTTTCTCATTTAGTTCTAAACCCCTCGTTCATTACAACTTTTTATTGTAAGTAACTTTCTCCTTAGATTTCTGGTAATCCTCGCTGCTTCGTCTCTAATCAGCCCACTTCTTTCTTTTAACACTGCCCAAAACTGAAGATGTTATTCCAGCTGATGCTTTACAATTATAAAGAGAGTGAAAGGATTATATGACATTGACTTTTCTCTTTGCTTACAGTGATAAGCAAAGCAGCTATTGAAACTCTAGAGGAAATTTTACCCTTTGTTGGAGAGTATGATGTACCCATAATTAAAAAGTGCCACTTGCAATCCTAACTATTGAAATTCTTCGTGCTGCACAGGTTTCACTTAAAAAGAATGGGCATTCATAGCAAATGAGTTTTAATTTGTGTGCTGGGTGGTAAATTCAGCTCTGCCTCATTTGGTAACAGAACTTATTCAGTTGTATTTTGTATAACTGACATAATGGGAAAAACAAATTTTCTCCTATTCACTTTTCATGTAACACTTTCGTATCAAAAAAATTGTGACAGAACTGGGATGCATTTGAAAATAATTTAAAAATTAATACAAATTATTCCCTTTAACAGCTTTAATTTTTTAAAACATACTCTTTCCAAATCTTTTTTTCTTTTCGACAGAAACTGTTTTTCCCATGTTGTAGGCGAGGGCACCAAGAAAGAGCTGATTATTTTGTGAAGGTTGTGAAAATGGCCAAAGTAGGATAAGAACTTCAGAATGTAGTTCTGTGTCCAGTGTTTAGTTCCCTTAGTGGTGCATGCGTAAATTAGGGGGAGAAAAGAAGAAAGCTTGCTTTTAAGCACATACACAGATAGACACATACTTGACAACTTTCCATTTCTTCCAACTACATATTTCTCTGCAGGGAATCAGTAGCTCCAAAACTGGTCTAAAGCATAGCCTGTAAGGCTTCCAGTAATTTAGATAAGGATCTCCTAGTACTTTAATCTGTTATCTTTTTTTTTTTTTTTAACTTTTATCCATCTTGATAAGACAGCTCCTAGATAAGGAATACCCAAGTTGTATTAAAATATGCTACTTGCAGGAAGATTAATTTTACTCTATGAAACCAATGTTTTCACTCAGTACATTTTTAAAACTGCAGTGAATTGGACAACACTGCAGTTTCACTCAAGGGGCAAGATCTTGATATCCTCTTTCTAAAACTTTTAGTTTAGTAGTCTCCAGGGAAACAGAAAAGATTAAGGATCTTTTGCAACTTACCACTCCAGAACTTCCCACGGGGTGGAGAATTTCTTGGACTCAGACATTGCCCATGAGAAAGCTGGAAACTGTTTCTGCACCCAGTACAGTTCTCATAGCTGTATCCAACACACATTGCACAGCTCCGGTGGCAAGGTTCACATTCTCTGGAGATGTCATCAGCGAAGAAGCCATTCCCACACACACTCACACATGTGCCACCTGGAACAGAAACAGAGCCTGGCATCATGGTTTCTACTGCCTCCTGTGAATCCTGACAAGGAGGCTTTTTTCCATTCAGCATCTGTCTCCAGCAAGAAATGGTATAAAAAAAAAAAAAGACAGTAAATAAGAAATCATGTAACTTTTTGTAGCTATGTAACCTCTAGCTATTTACCACAAAACCTAAATTCAGCTCAGTTCCTTATGCAAGCTTCATAAACTTTAAGCTGCGCTTAAATTTTGTAACTATATGTTTTTTCATCCACATCCAAAAATCTGGCATATGCAAGTCTTCCAAAGTCCAGATCTGGATAAAAATTTTATGGTTCCATCCCAAATATTATACTGGCCCAATATAAAATATAAGTCCTGCAGTCCCTAAGATTGTTAGATATATGCAGATTTTGAGGACTTGAACACATGTCTAGTTTCTGGTGAATATAAAGCGAAACTCAGGTAAATCAATTTAAGTGTTGGCATACTGCAGCAAAGCTCCTAGAAGTTGTTACACTGATAATTTTTTGAGCTTCCTCTAATTTTTATTAAAAACCCCCTACACCACCAGATCATCTCAGATTGTGACCACAGGGTTTTCCATGAATGTGATGCTCTTGTACTCAACTACAGGGCACCTTCATCAGGCAGAGCACAAGAATACCATAACCTAAGGATTTCCTGTGATATGTTTTGGCACTATGTCTGAACCAGACCTGCCTGATTTATGGCGTTGTAATAAAGCTAAGATATTCCTAGCCTTGTGTGAATCTGGTGTGGAATTTAGTGGTTTTAACAGAGCTTGTTTCAGTTTAAGGGTTTAAGGCTTGTTACTTTGTGTGGACCTGAAAGTCAAAGTAAATCTCGACTTGCAAATAATAAGGAAAAGTTTCCATGTCTTTCAGTGAGTTAAAAACTTTTCCTCTCACAGTCTGAATCAAACACAATAGTTTTTCTATTTGATCAAAAGAGTGGAAATGCATTAAAAATAAAACTGAAAAAAAAATAGGAAGATGTGGTCTAATATATCAAACCAAACAATACCATTGGCTAACATAACCACCCTGTTAATGCAAAGGATCTCATTCTACAAAGAGCTAACTTCCCTCAGCCTCCACTGTCAGCCAAATAAGAGATTCATGAATTTAAGAATTTAGGTCCAGACTCTTTCACTAAAGAAAAATTCTAAAATATTTGATAATGTATGCCACATATGGTATCTTTCTTACCTAAGAGATAAAAGCCTTCCTTACACGAGTCACATGTGCCCTTGTCACAGCTATCACATTCGCTAGGACATTCTCTACACTGCAGAGAACTTTCATCTCTGTAGGTATTTTCTGGGCAGTATTTATAGCAATGCTGCTTATACCTGTAAGATAAAGTAGAACATCATCAGTAAGTTTCTTTTGAGGTCACTGAGTCTCTTTTCTGTGTGTTTCTAGGTATGGTAATGGTAAAACTCTGGTCTCATCCTGATTAACAGAAATTGTTCCCCTAGTGAAGGGCTCAACCAAAGTGTATTTGTGCTTACATTGCTTACTCAACTGGCAAATGGAATCATAGAATGGTTTGGATTGGAAGAGACAATAGAGATCATCCAGTTTCAACCGTCCCTGCCCATGGGCAGGGACACCTTCCACCAGACCAAGTTGCTCAAAGTCCTTTCCAGCTTGGTCTTGAGCACTGCCAGGGATGGGGCAGCCACAGCTTCTCTGGGCATCTGTGCTAGTGCCTCACCACCCTCACAGCAAAGAATTGCTTCCTAATATCTAATCTAAATCTCCCCTCTGTCCTGCTGCTGCTAAACCCAGGACACCCTCTTTCAGTTTAAATCCATTGCCCCTTGTCCTATCACTACTTGCTATTATAAAAAGTCCCTCTCCAAATTTCTTGTAGGCCCTGTTTAGGTAGTGAAAGGCTGCTCTAAGGCCTCCCTGGAGCCATCTCTTCTCCAGGCTGAAAAAGCCCAGCTTTTTCTCATCCTGTCTACATAAGAGAGGTGCTCCAGCCCTCAGAACATCTTTGTGGCCCTCCTTGGGACTTGCTCCTATAGGTCCAAGTACCCCTTATGTTGTTGCTCCCAGATTTGGATGCAGTACTGCAGGTGGGGTATCACGAGAGCAGAGTAGAGGGGGAGAATCACCTCCCCCAGCCTGCTGGTCATGCTCCTTTTGATGCAGGCCAGCACACAGTTGGTTTCTGGACTGTGAGCTCATGCTGCTAGGTTATATTGAGTTTATCAACCAATACCATGAATTCCTTCTCCTCAGAGCTGCTCTCAATCCATTCTTTGCCCAGCCTGTAGCTGTGCCTGGGATTGCCCCGACCCACGTGTAGGTCCTTGCATTTCGCCTTGCTGAAAACTGGCCCACATCTCAAGTGTGTCAAGGTCCCTCTGGATGGCATCCTTTCCCTGCAGCATATCAACTGTACTACACAGCAAATGTGATGACAGCTCACTCAATCCCACTGCCTATGTCACCAGCAAATATTTTTTCTAATCTGAGTTCTTGAATGTAACTATTTTGATTTTCTTTTTTAAATGTAGGTACAAAAATAAATGCATGCTGAATTATGAATTACTATATTGCATTTGTAAAGAGCTGATTGAATGTAAAAATATATAATCCAATGCCATTGTTTATAGCTGGATTGAATAGCCTCTTTAAGTTTTCTTTTGTCATGATAATTTTACAGAGATCTCTAGATGTCCCTTTGAAAAGCAGTAAAGTTCTTAATTTCCCTCTATTTAAGTTAATCTTTGAATTAATATTTTTCCTTTGCTCAACATTTTTAAATGGTCTTACTGAGCTGCTAGTACCAGAACTGGACACAATATATTAAAAGTGTGCTAATTCCAAATCCAGAGGCACTGTTTTAGACCTTTTCTGATCCACATTACTCTCTTCACACATGCAAAGTTCACATCAGTCCATGCATTTTAAAAAGCCTTGATGGTAAGAGAAAGGCTAGTTTTTCAGCATTTTACAAACCTTTTCCCAAATGACTATTCTCAGGTAGGCAATACTTATAAGGAATGGGATAACACATGCAAAGGAGATCTATGTAGTGAAGCACAGATATTTGCTTTAGAAAAACGTATGAGCATGAAGAGCTGTAGAACTATACTTACATATAATAGTTCTGAATGCATTTTATACAGATTCTTGGGTCATCTGAAATTAAAAATGTGAAATTATGTAAATAATATTCAGAGTTAAAAACAGAATGCTAAAAAAGAATTGTTGCTACACAATTTTTATGTATTTATTACATTAAAATCACTACAGCCATAATGAGATTATAATCTCTGAATCTCTGATTACATTTTTTTGGAGATAAACTCTTCCACAATCAGGTCTTGACCTGTATTTGCACAGTGACCTGTGACTTTTGAATCCTCAGTGTAAGGTACCCAGAAGTTGCTGAGTGTTTAAGAAGTGCTGTTCTTATAAACAGAACCTTCCTAGAAGCTCAGGTTGGGCAAATGTATTCTTGAAAAGACGCTCTACGTTATCCTTATCTGTAGTTTCATCCTATTTCTTCATTTGTTGTAGAGCTAAGTTAAAAGCATATGGCACTTCTAAAAGCAAACTTTTGAAAAACATATATTCAATTACTTGAATCTTAAAAATCCCAAGCTACACAAACTTTCTATATTATGGGCAGGGGGGGGAGGGGTACGTGGCATTTGGGTAAACTTCCTTGTCAAAAAATAAATTTTGGCATTCAAAAATTTTATTAAATGAACAGAAAAAGTATTATACAAATTCTTAAAACTGTTACAGTGATGGATGTATGGCTTTATGCTCACACAAAGTGAAGAATATTTTCTATAACCTTCCATTATCTTCTTTTAGCTTTCCATTCCCTTTACCTTACTCAAATATCCCAAAGGGAGCAGAATGGAAGGAAACAGAATAACATGGGTGAATGTATTTATAAACTGTTCTACTATGAAATGCCTATAAATTATTTTTGATATTAATAGCACTCATAAGGTAAAATTTTACTGAGCCTGTTTGAACTGCATCTACTTTAATAAATCACACTTTACACATGCAAACTTACTAGGCAACATGCACTTGGTTTTGCAAGTAGCTCTAGCAATTTATTTATGAGGTGTAAAGTTTTACCCAGAAATGCTGCAAATCTCTGCAAATATTCTCTTTACTGTTTAGAGCACAAACAGAAAAGCAATCACCTTATCTAAAGTTCCTTACATTATATTTTATGTTAAGATGGGAAATGCTCTTAAAATATGAAAATATTTTCTACAAAATATCTTTTAATTCTAGCTAAAAGACATTTAGTTTGTCCAAGGTTTCTTTTTGAATGATTTTTTGAACACTATTATTTTTTCTGAATAAAAACACTTCCTGAGATACTTTTTTCTCCAGTTAATCTGTGTGGATTTTTTCCCTTACCATATTTATAGAATATTGTTGAAGCCAGGTTGGTATGATGATAAATAAATGTATTTATAACTTTTCAAAATTGGCACACACTCCTTGTGTTTTGTTGTTGGAAAGAATAGGGAACACATCAAAGAGACGTTAAAATTTCAAGGGCTGCTTGCTGGTTTTAGTAACTAACTCTCCATGTACTTATGGCTTTTATGAAAAAAGAATTCTTTCCCCTCTTGCCCATGGAGGTTCAGATGACAATTTTCTTTCCTAACTGCCCTCTCAGTTTTGCCTGTGTGGATGGATATCTATATAGCTCAGTTTGAGACAGATCTCAGCAGTAACTGGAAACAAAGTCACAACATCTGGTTGTCCTGTGGAAAGAGTCTGGAAAATTAAGTAAGTGCCCATTAAGTAGAGAATATGCATTTTGAGTTGGTTTAGGATCTAAGAGAAGGTAGTTAGGGAGGGGGGAAAGAAAAGAAAAGTAAAAATAGTTTGTTTACAGTGTGGATAGGAAAAAAAGTGTATCACAAGTGGCACTTGAATTCTGCTGCTTACACAAAATTTAGACAGAAGTGGCAATAGTAAATACCTTGTTACAAGGCCACAAAATTCATAGGGATAGCTGGTTTGCTGTATTTCACTTGGGAATGTACTGAGTCTTTCTTCAAACCTAAGATTTTGAAGGCAGTGGGAGAATTCTTGACAATTTTGTGAAATGAAAATATGCGGATATTGGGCTATTGTGATCTAATGTGCCAATTTATGTACTATTATTATGTTATTTATGGGGCCTGCAAGGATGCTGAAGAAGGACTGTTCATTAGGGACTGTAGTGATAGGACAAGAGGTAACAGGTTCAAACTTAAACACTGGAAGTTTAGATTGGATAGAAAGAAGAAGTTCTTTACTGTAAGGGTGATGAGGCACTGGAACGGGTTGCCCAGGGAAGCTGTGAATGTTCTATCCCTGGCAGTGTTCAAGGCCAGGTTGAACAGAGCCTTGGGTGACATGGTTTAGTGTGAGGTGTTCCTGCCCATGGCAGGGGGGTTGGAACTAGATGATCTTAAGGGCATTTCCAACCCTAACTATTCTATGATTCTATTTATCAGCCCTTACCAGACCACTGTTCCTTCTCTTAAAGACATGACAACTAAATAGGTGATCTACCACTTTCTATATTTAGCTTCTGAATTTAAACTGTTAAGGAATAATGAACCTAATTTAAAAAAAAATGCAAAGAGGACAACCATCTAATAGTAAGCAAAGAGAAAACTAAATATGGAACTATTCCTGCAATAGCAAATTTGATATTTAGCAAGGAACTAAGTCTAGGGAATTTTATGGATATATATGTGCAGCTCTTCTACAGTGGGTCCTTTCAATCTGCCACAATAAATTCTTGGACTAGCATTAACAAACATGCTATATTCACTGAGACCTTCACTTGCCCATAAAATAATGCAAAGTGTGGTGCAAAGTGGGTTTGTTGATACGTTATGCCCCAAAAGGCTTCTTGTAAAGAGAACTGCTAATATTTTACCTATATTTAACAGTTTCCATTTCCATTTTCTGGTATGTTGAGCCTATGCCACTCCTTTGAAGACAGAAACAAAAGTGAACTTGATAGCACTGGAAATGGGATTCAACTAATTTTAAGACCTCACACACAAATCCTCTTTAAATTTCTGGTTTTATTGCAGTTTTCTTGGAGAACTAAAGATCGTTTAGAGTTCATAGAAAAAGTAATTTGTTTTCCTTCCTTGTCTGTAATAAACTGATACTCCTCTTCCCTCCCTCATGCCTTCCCTCACCTTCTCAAGTACAATACATTTGGAGTGAGCCATGTTATAATACAGAAAAGGTACGTGCAAAGATTAAATATCGGTCAAAGGCCAGACATTCATGCATTCTGTTGGAACTCTCTGATTTGAAATGAATTAGTGTTTTCTCTACTCTGGGAGGGAAGTATGGGCATTAGCGTTACAAGCATAGCATTGTTGTGCTGGAAGGGTATTTTTGTTCAAATATGTAAAGAAACACTGTGTTGGTTTTTTTTTTTTTTTTTTTACTGTAGAGGCTTATTGAAATATTTAGTACATAAGTTCATCCATATTAAAAATGAGCTCCACAGCATTTTGGAAATACTTGTCACTGTTTCACTGTGTTTGAGTGTTCACGGTATTTAGACAGATCCTAATTCTGGAAACTTTACATGGCTAGCCCACTGTGCTTTTGAGTAGCACTTACTCAAAGTATCCTGTCTAATTAGACCCAGATCTTGCAATGACTTGTGTGCATGCCTAACTTTATCTACTGTATACGATAAAGCTGGAAGCTGAAGTTAAGTGCAAGGGTACATTTTGCAGGATCTGTATTTAGACTGCAACTTTTATTTTAACTTCCTGTTTTGTGCATGATTTTTTTAATTAAGTTTCTTGAACTATTCAGTGGCTCAGCTGTGAGCCTAGAATGTGCTGTATCCACTCAACTGTTTTTTGCATTCAGAAGTTCAAGATACTTGCTTCATGGTTTACCTTTCTGTTCCAGGTTAATTAAATGTAATGACTGAATATGATTTTATATTCCATTGCAGTTTTCCCTTAAGGGCCAGCCTGCAGTAATTGTTTAATTTCAATAGTTATAGCTAGATTTTATTTGCCTTTTACATTCCCCTAAACAATAATTTACGGTAATCTAAAAAAAAAGGACTATACATTGTAATGTATCACCAACTAGAGTAAGTATATATTTTAACTACTGTAGACCATATTTTCTTTAGTTTTTATGGCATCTCAAGTAAAAATAACTGAAATGAACAATCCAAACATAGTAAGATTTTTGACTACTCATGGGCCCAACTGAAATCTTAGCTTTCAGTAAGCCTTAAAAATGAAGATTTCTGTTGTGGAACTAAAGACTCTGTTTTGGATCTTCCAGTTTGTATGAGAAGGTATTTGTTTGTGTGTGGTTTTTTGGTTCCCTCCCCAGTGTGTGTGTTTGCAAGTAAATCAGCTTTGTCCTTGTTCTTATTTCTGTCGTAATAATTTATTTTGACAAGTCATATTATGGAAAAGTGGGAGAAAGAAGAGATTGTGATTTTAACCAAGGAAAAAGATGGATTCTGTTGTCCGTAAGATTTATACAAGGAAAAAAACCCACCATAAGTATTTCCTTTGGACAAACCCCATAACTTTGGTTCAGCCAAGACATTTAATGAATTAAAAATATATGCATCTTAAAGCATGAAAACTCAAAAATACTTTGAATAGATGTAATATATTAAAAAAACACCCTCTATGTAGTTTTTTATATTGTTTTCCTTTAAATGAAAACTACCTTTAATTAGGATGAAAATGAGACTAATACAGCCAAAAAATATTCTGAGTGCTATTCTTGCTGTAAAGCTGGTTAACTGAAAAAGTCGCACAGCTCTAATCTCAATTACCTTAGCCTAAAAGAGGGATAATTTCACTTGCTGTTATTGAATTTCCTTGACAAAGTAAAGGGAATTAGATATATTTTCCTGTTCAAATAAGGATTTTAATATGGTGAATTTAGAAGTAGAAATGAAAGGCAGATAAGATTAAATGAAACAAAAAGTTAGCATTATAATATGCGTTATTTGAAATAGGTCCATGGTTTGTACAACTGAGGTGAAATGTTGAAAAATACATAAATACTTGTATATATGTTGGTAAATGCATCAGATTTGGGAGATTTCACTGAAAGAAAGTGAGGAAATCAAAAACTTTAAGGAATAGAAA